GAAGTTGACCAAGAAGACTTTTTAATCTAACTCCAAAAAAAAAAAAATTCTATCCATTTGGGTTTTTTTTTTACATTGCTTGTGGACATTACGGTTGAGATTTAATTCTTGTCTCACTAGTCAATATTTTGAACTTTTTTTTTTTTTTTAATAAAAAAGGCCAGTGGAATAAGTTTATCCCCTTTCCCCCCTGCATTTCCAAGTAGATCAATTTGCCCCCCAACATATTGAAAATGTTTCATTCATCATAACGCCTTCATTACATGTGGCCTTGAATCACCGGTTTGGCGGTGATTGTTCTACTGTAACCAGTACCACCAGCTTTTCCACTTATCTCAAATCAAGTTCTTGGATACCTTGAGAATGTCAAGTTCAAGTGCAAGGGGGCCAAGAGTTCCCGTCAACGTCTAATTTATGCCACCACCACCTCCCATTATTATTCACTCACTTTACGACCAACTCGGTGAACTGTTATTTCATCAAGCCCACCTTTTCCACCATTACCGCCATGTTTCAAGGGCTCCCTGTGTACTGACACACAATGTAGGCTTGTTCGCAGTTATTATCTTAGCACCACTGTGAATACAATAATTCCGCTAAGGATCATATCAAGCATGAGGCAACTGTTGTGAAATCTTACCACTGAATTGAAAAGGGGCTGACTCGGCTTCTAGGCTGTCAGCCCAAAGTCTGACTTTGCACTGCGTGTGTGTGTGTGTGTGTGTGTGTGTGTGTGTGTGTGTGTGTGTACAGTGTGTTTAAGTCAGAAGTTGATATGATTTAAAAAATTTAAAGGAACATATAGTAATGTTTTGAATGACTTGCATCCTACATAAAGTAGATGTAATATGTATATATATATATATATATATATATATACTGTACACACACACACACACACACACACACACACACTGTACACACACACACACATAGCAGCTTCATTTCTATTGTGGCATTTGAAAAAAGCACCTGGGACTCCCCACATCGTGGCAGATGGAGGAGCAACCACACACCCACTCAGGTTTGGAGGCTACGCTCCAAGGGGCCAAACATAACAATAACCTTCGGATTGGTTCTGCGTTTCGTGAGTTTGCACGGAGCGGCTCCATGTTACAAGGCCAATGAAAGCAGACCAGAACCACATTATGAATGCTGGAAATTACAGAGAATCATTTGTTAATTTAATTTGAGCGGGGGGGTCAGAGAAATGTGACCCAGTCATACTTTGACTTTTGAATGACAGCTTGCCAGCATGAAAAAAGCACATTACAAAAAAAAAAAAACGAACCTCAGTCTGAGGTCAGCATTCTTTGCTCTTACATCTTAAACCAGTAATTACCGGTAACCTAAATATCCTTTTGTTGTGCCAAAGTGTGCCATAGTTTGAGGTTGCCACCCGTCCCGTAAAATATGGAAACGTCCTTTAATTGGGAATTACATGTTGCATCCCATATTGAACCAATACGGGATGCGGTTTGTTCTGTATTTTCCTACTTGTCCCATGCGTCTATTACACACAAATGTGAACAACAGAGGGACAAAGTGGAGCCAGACATCAGTGTATACATGGCTACTGACGTGGATTGCATTGGTATTTCAGAAGTCTACTATGATTTTGATTGGACCGGTGGCCGACTGGTTAGCGCGTCTGCCTCACAATGTACAGGTGCATGGTTCGATTCCAGCTCTGGCCTTCCTGTGTGGAGTTTGCATGTTTCCCCCGTGCCTGCACGGGTTTTCTCCGGGTACTCCTGTTTCCTCACATATTCCAAAAACATGTGTGGCAGGCTAATGCAACACTCTAAATTGTGAGTGTGAGCCTAGATGATTGTTCGTCTATGTGTTCCCTGCAATTGGCTGGCAACTGGTTCGAGGTGTACCCCGGCCTACTGCTTGAAGACAGGTGGGATAGGCTCCAGCATGCCCCTTGTGAGGGTAAAGCGGATCAGAAAATGGATGGATGGATGGAGTTTTTAAAGTCTAATAAATAAACATGTATGTAGGCTTACACACACACATACGCGCGCGCACACACACACACACACACACACACACAACCACACCCATTGTGTCCCTTATTTCCAGACCTGAAGGGTGGCGGCAACCTTACCATCGCAGGAGCACGGTCCAAAATACAGCCTTCTTTCTCCCTCTGTTGGACATAGTGCTCCTCTGCAGCCTTTTTGTTTTAAATGTATTCCGACGTGATTAGTATCCTTTATTTATTCAATTATTTTGTTGGAATAATTATTTTTATTTATTTTTTTTGCCAGTTGCGAGTTTAAAGAAAAATTGCATTTTAGGGCGCACTCCAGACTTATATGGTGTTTCAAAAACTATTTTGAAGCATTAATTTCTCTTTTGTTGTTGGCGGTTTTTTTTGGAGGGGGGGGCTCAGGACAAGTACATTCACTTAGGTAGTGCATGTTTTAATATTTTGTATGTGGATTTCAATAAAATTTGATGGATGAGAAATAGAATGTCTTCCGGAGATAAAATGTTTTCCAATTCTGGAATGACCTTCATCACTCTGATGCTGTTATGTATTTGGGTACGGGAATGACAAGAACAGAATGGATTATGAAAATGTGTGTTTTCTCTACTTTTAAGTTTAAAAAAAACCAAAAAAACGTTCTTAAAAAAAACAAAAAAACACTGTCGTGCTTTTTACGGTGTGAGGCACACTTCCTCTAGGTGGCACTGAGGAATCATGTCAAGATCCACACATTTTCTGCAGCTGGTGCACGCTGGACAGGTTGCCAACCATTGCAAGCACGAGGCGTACTGTACCTGCAAATTCCACACAGGAGAGCCTGAACCTTCATTTAAATTCAGAAACTCTCAGCTCTGAAGCAGACTTGCGAACTACTCCAAATCGTGCTGCCTGAAGAAAAACAAATGTATTTAAATCTGCTAAAATAAATTCAACTGCTCATGAAGGGTTGGTTGATGCGGAATCCTCAATGCCAAATGCTCCACAGCATCATTTACGGGGAAGTGGTCCACCTCAGAATGTGCCCTCCAAAATCTTCCCTCCCCCCCAAAAAAACCCAAAACAAAACCAAAAAGAAAGCTGACATTTAATCTACATGCTACACACACAAAGAAACAATTCTGAGCAGCTCACTCAAGACACATTTCCAGAAATCAACTGCTTACTAAAATACCTCTTTGTTTAACTTCGCATCAAAGTCCAAATTTTAGAATGACAGTGGCGCTCCACTGTTCACAAAATGTTCCAAACGAAACTGCATCTTGTGGTCTGCACACAAAATAGAAGACTGTCTACACAAGCGGCAATACAAATTGTATTGCTGATTCACATCAGCAGTCATCTTGGTTGTTTGTTGATGTCTCAAGGGACTCCAAAATTTGTGGTCTCATCAAACTCTATTAGTTTTCGAGTTATGACTTGCCTATCCACTGTCAAAGCAAATCAGCATGAACTTGCAAATTAGGCCGGTTTTCAGAGTATCTTTTTGGACACTGGATCTCACGTCTCTTAATTTCTCTATTTAAAGCAGAAGCATTAATAGAGTGTTTATCTAATGTTATGTATGTCATTTACATTTACTCAGTGATGTATAAGCCCCTTTTTCTTTCTGTCTTTTGTTGGACAATATCGGTTTAATTGGCCATTCAGCGGGAGTGCATTTGTGTGCTCTGACCATGCTGTTTATCATTGATACAAAGGAAGAGCTTTTCATTGAGGCGAGCAAAGCAATGGAAGCTTGCGTCGACGATTAAAGGAGCCATTGGTAAGAATCTAGTTTTTAACCGAATCAAGTTTCTATCCATCCATCAATTATCTGAGCCCCATATCCTCACGAGGGTTGCGGGCGTACTGTCGTCGATCCTAGAAGTATTTGGGCAGTAGGCGGGTAACGCCCTGGACTGGTTGCCGGCCAATTCCAGGGCACACATAGACAAATAAACATTCACGCTCACAATCACACCTAGAGACCATTTAGAGTGTCCAATTAACCTACTATGCATGTTTCTGGAATGTTGGAGGATGTTTAAGCCTACAATAAATTCCATTAGAGTGGGTTGCACATGGCACAAAGTGCACCTGTCGTTTTGTCAGAAGAGGCTTTAAGCCAGGGGTGTCAAACTCATTTTTGTCATAGGCCACTTTGGAGTTGATGTCGGGCCGTCCCGACAGTTAAACCGAATAAATGTTTAATCATCACATAGTATTATTACTTGTACACAAAAGAATGATGGATTACTAGTTTAGAAATAAGTCAACTATTTGTTTCTTGTTTGTTCAATTATTGTTCAAGTGAGTGTAAACACTGTGAACAAAATTATGGCGAAATCTCAACGTTATTTGTTACACATGACAATTTGACATTTCTGTACAGATTTTAGCGAGGCTCACGGAAGTTGACACACATGATTTGTTTTCGCGGGCCACATACAATGATGAGGCGGGCCGGATCTGGGCCCCGGGCTTTGAGTTTGACACCACTCCTTTAAGTTTTTCAAACAATGCTTGCAAGATTTAACATACAGTTAGGCATACACCCATGAGTCAAACCCACTTGTTTTATAACCGCTTATGTTTTTAAACTTGATTTTCACGCATGCACAGATGAGATCTGCAAGTGTCTTTTTGAATGAGCCAAATTAATTTCGCCAGGTTTTTTTTTTTTTTGCGTCAGTCTGCCATTCAAATAGCAAAACGGGCGTGGTTACTATATAATTTTTATGTAATTTTTTTTCATTATCTATGGGGCATAAATTGAATGAGTCAAGTGAACTTCGCCTGGCAACAGGTGACCAGTCATCAACCGTGCTTACAAAAACTAAACAATTCAAGTAATTCGCTGTATTATTCATCGTGTTGTTTTATTTTATTAAAAAACGCTGCTTGTTTTTAGAAATCGTTAAAATACAAAAAAAAAA